TGTCGAGTCAAACCTGCATGGAAGTTCTAGGCAGAATGAAGAGACAGGAAAAACAGTGGCTCACTACGGACACTTGGAGACTGATCGAAGAGAGAAGGATGGTGAAACAAAAGATTCTCCAGTGCACCGACGAGCAACAAAAACAGGATTTGAATGCAAGCTACAAGACACTGAACAAAAGAGTAAAGAAAAGTGCCAGGGAAGACAAAAGAAAATATCATGAAGCCATGGCAAGTGAAGCAGAACAAGCTGCAGACAAAGGAGATCTCGAAACACTCTACCAAACAACTAAGTACCTATCGGGCAAAAGTTTGACACAAATTAAGCCGGTGAAGGATGACAATGGAAAGTCACTCACCAAAGAAGTGGATCAAAAGAAACACTGGGCTGAACACTTCAAAAGACTCCTAAATCGACCACTACCTACAACGCGCCCAACAATATCAACAACGGAGACAGAGCTACCAGTGAACACCAACCCCCCTCCCGACGAAAACAGAAGTCCTGAAGGCAATCAAGATGCTAAAAGCTGGAAAAGCAGCAGGACCAGATGCAATCTCAGCACAAGTATCGAAAATGAACCCAGAAACAACAACGGATTTGATGACACCACTACTGAAGAAGATGTGGAAAGAGGACAAGGTACCTGCGGATTGGAAGAAAGGATGCTTATTCAAACTGCCAAAGAAAGCAGACTTAAGTCAATACAAGAACTGGCGAGGAATTATGCTCCTATCCATCCCAAGTAAAATACTAAGCCACATCATCCTGGAGAGAATCAAACAAGCCGACCTGGATGAAAAACTTCGACTGGACACAGGCTGAATTCAGGAGAAACAAGTCATGCATTGATCAAATCACCACATTACGGATCACCATTGAACAAAGCTTGGAATGGCAGTCACCTCTCTATCTCAACTTCATCAACTTTGAAAAGGCATTCGACATTGTCGATCGAGAGGTGATTTGGCAACTACTTCGCCACTACGGGGTGCCACCGACAATTATACATCTCATCCAACAGCTGTACGACAATGCTGCATGTGAAACAAATAGGCGGGAAGAAATGGAGATGGATTGGCCATACTCTGAGGGGTCCATTTAGTGACATCACTAGACAATCCATTGCTCGAGTGGAACCCGAAAGGGAAGCGGTGAGTTGGTCGTCCAAGGGTGACTTGGAGGAGGTCATGTGAAGAGGAGATGAAAACGTGTGGGCAGACTTGGAGCCAGGTGAAGACTCTGGCAATGGAGACGCACGGCTGAAGCCCTATGTTCCTCTAGGAATTAAAGGAAACAATAATAATAATACAGGCAGTACTATTCTTCAGGCTAGTGGGTCATCTTCACTTCACTCTGTGACCACGACTAACGAGGAGAGCCATAGAAATACCCCCCGACAGTCTCCAAACGCCACGTCACCAACTTCATAAAGGAGCATTTGACGCCAGGACCCTCTGCTAAATCGGACAACAGGCATCACTAACCAGATCTCTGGAATCTCGAGCCGTGGATGTATGCTGTCGGAGACACGCATACAAGACCCGAGTATGGTCATTCACTTATCCTCACCGGGCCAACAAGGGGAATCTGCAAAATTCACTTTAAGGGTGTCAGGAGACCACTCAGCTAGTTTGCGAGGACTCGCAGGTGTAGGGATAGCGTTGATTGTTAGGACTGAGAAATCACTTCTTGACTGGATCCCAGTAGATAGTCGTATGTGTGCGGTCCGTCTGAATGGGTCCGTTAGAAGGAAAGATGTTACCCATCGTTGTCTTTTCGTAGTCAGCGCTTACGCCCCAACAGACTGCAGTTTTGATGAACTAAAGAATGACTTCTACCTGAAACTGTCTAATTTGCTGCAAATAGCAAACCGTTCCGATATAGTTGTTTTAGCAGACGACTTCAATGCCCAAGTAGGGAAGTTGTCGCAGACTGTAAAGTATGTAGGTGGCACGTGTGGAGTTCCCTGCCAACGAACCGAAAACAGTGATCGTCTTCTACAATTTTGTTTAGGTAATTATCTATTTCTAGTCAGCACTAACATTAGGTACAAACAAAGACATTGTGTAACCTGGCGACCTCCATCACCAAATCAACGCTGGACTCAGGTAGACCACATAGCGATAGGGTGTCGTTGGCAGCGGTAAGTAGAAGACTGTCGATCCTTCTGGAACACGTGCATGGACTCTGATCACGACCTGGTTCGCAGAGGTTTATGCTTACGACTAAACGCACATAAAAAATTGCTGGCAGTGAAGCAAATACGTCTCCAACTATATCGAGACTCTGAGTCCCTATTCAAGGAAGAAATAGCGAAACGAGTATCTGAGGTCGACAGCAGTACTCCTCCTGAGATAGCCTGGCACAACATACAGTTAGCTGTAGACACAGCTGTAAAAGCTGTTAATAATCTGAAATCTTAAGTTAGTAAGAGCCACTGAATTTCTACCACCTCATTCGAAATGATTGACGCAAAAAGACTAGTTTTGGCGACCTCCGATTATGATGAGGAGAGAAAACTACTCAAACGCAAACTAACAAGAAGCCTTCGCAACGACCGTGAACAGTGGTGGGCAACAAAAGCGAAAGAGAAGGAAAAGGCATCGGCAATTGGTAACACCAGGGGAAGTCCCGTTGGGTTGGCGTAAGTCATTGATTATCCCCATATACAAGAAGGGAGACAAGTCTTCCTGTGATAATCACAGGGGGATTAGCTTGACTAATATGCTATCGAAAGTTTTAGGCTCAATAATGATGCGTAGACTAAGCGGTCCACGGGAGGAACAAACACGAGAGAACCAGGCGGGCTTTGGACCAGGGAGATAGTGCATTGATCGTATCTTCACCCTTCGACAGATTCTGGAACATTGACATTCCTACCAGCGTCCAACAATCATTATATTTCTTGACCTAAAGGCGGCATTCGATTCTGTCAACCGAGAGGTTCTCTGGCGATGATTGGCTGTAAAGGGGATGCCGAGAAAATACATTGCACTGATCAAGGCACTCTGCTCTACTCGAACCCATAGAGCCAGGTGAGAGCTTATGGCGAGTTGTCATCTTAACTGGTGACAACTAGTGGTATCCGTCAGGGATGCCCACTGTCCCCATTTCTATTCAATTTCATCATAGATGTACTTATGGAATTAACCCTAACTGCTGACTCCAGTGACTCACGGATTGATTTGTTACCAGGGAATAATCTCGTTGACTTAGAATATGCAGATGATATAATCCTCCCATCTGGGTGAAGACGGTGAAAAAATGCAGTCTTCTGGACACCTTGAGCTGCAATCTTCGAATGCTTGGCGTGCGATTCGCTCCCGCCAAATGTTAGATGATGCTACAGGACTGGAGGATTACATTGACTTCTAGCTTGGAAATAGGGAGTGAAGTGGTGGTTGAGCGTGTTGACCACTTCACTTATATGGGGAGTTGCATCAGCTCTAATGGGTTGACCACTGACGAAATCTCAGATTGGATACAGAAGGCCTGTTTCGCATATGCCAACCTGTGCCATCTCTGGCGTAAACGTGATATCCGGCTGTCTGTCGACCAAGGGGCGTGTACTGCTCAGCAGTCCACTCTGTCCTCCTTTATGGCAATGAGACATGGACATAGAAAGCGGAAGTTACGAAAAGCCTAGCTATCTTTGACCATAGCTGACTGCGTTCTATCTCCCGTGTTAGTTAATATAATAGGGTAGGCAATATTGAGGTTAGGCGTCGAGTGCTAGATGAAAGGGAGGGGGGAAATCAATAGGCAAAGCTGTGAAGTTACATCGACTGAGATGGTTATGACATGTGCTACGCATGCCTAGCCATCACTTTGCTTGACGGACAATGCTAGCTAACATAGGATGGATCAGGTTGGAAAAGAGCCAGTGGTGGTCAAACCAAAACATGACTACATCAGTCAATGAAATCCACAACAGTTAGTTTAAGCCACGTAGGAAGGTGTAGACTTCCTGGTTGAGGTCCTCGGGACGGTAAAAACCAATGGCTGGAGACAATTGATGATATGGCTCAAAATCGTTTTCAATGGCTGGTACAGATGCATCCAGTCCTTGTGACTTATAATTCCCAATAAAACTATGTTGTTCTGCGATATTATTATTCCTTTTGCCTCATATCTCTGTTTACTGCCTCTATTTTACTTTCTTCTCTTACTTCGTGTGCTACATGGAGTATGGCAACTCGAACTGCTGCATATCGGTGCAAAGTTCTATGTGGAAACTAGTCAGTCAGTCAGTCGGTCAAAACAGACGGTTACACACTACATAATTTATATGTTGACAAATAAGAACAAATGATTAATCACACTACTACTAATAACAGATAACATTGGGATTCACCTGAAAAGTCTAAATATACGTGTTGAGGTAAAACTCGTTCAGTCACATTCTAACTGAAGAGTAAATATTCCTTTAATTTGTTACCTTTTAAATGTGCAAATAGGGGTTTTCGCAACACTGAAATCTTCCAGATATTTTTATTTCAATCATAGATTATTCTTTATTTTCTGTATCTAGATTAATGGTTGAAACCGTTTTTCATGAATACAACTCTAGAACCTTACAGTATTCAGTACCTTTATTCACTACCCAATTCACTTTGCTACACTGTTTAACTAACTTGCAACCGTTTGTAATATTTTCTGATTGTGACTTCCATGTATCACCTTTCCTGATGCTTTTTCAATACTTTGCACTTATATTGCTCATATATCCTAAGAAGCAGTTTGTACATAAATATAGTCAAAATATTTCCCTTAAACACTCAACAGTGATCAATATGTTTTTGTAAGAGATGTCATCAGATTAATTTTTATTCAGATACAAACACTTACCTTGCTAAGTTCTTTGCAAAATCCAATAGTTCTAGGACAAACACGATCAGAATAAGTTAGTAAAATTTTCGGAGTTACTTCTCCATTGAAAATAGGTGAAAGCTCATCCTAGATTAAACCAAAACGATGTATTATTTATTGAAACATACTGTTTCATGTTCGATTATCACTTCGTCATCATTCTTTGGAACAATAGTTTCATCCACCGTCCGAAGTGATTCAAGAGTTTGAGGAATTCCCGCAGGTGTACCACTTTCCTTCCTTTGTTTACGTTTGATTCTACGTTCTTTAGCTTTTTGAATTCTCTCCTTATGTGTTATTTCCCTGAGATGGTGACGAGTAGTCTCCTTACGAATAGGCATATTCACAGAAAAAATCGACTGGTATCACGGACTCTGAACGATCCCCTTGGAGAAAACGTTTTAAACACGTGAATACAACCTACAATACATAAAAGTAATCATTTGTTTGAGATAAAGAGAATAAAATATAAGACAGGTTATACAGGGAAGGTGCATTTGATAGCCAAGAAACCATTTCCAATGAATATTCCCTGAAAAATACATACCTGAGAGAGGCTAATACTTTTTACGAAGCAAGAAATCGAAAGCAGCGGATGACAGAATAGATATATTTTACTCAACCAGTCAGCCGAATAGATATATTTATAATCAGTTCACTACACTGTATATATTATGACACGGATTTCGCCGTGACTGGCTAAGTCCATAATTACAGTGATAGGTGTTAGAACTGATAACCATAAGTGTAACACCTCGCATTAATATTTCAGAAAAATTGATGTTATGTGGTGACCACAAAACACTTTGTAGAAGATAGGAAAAAATTGGCAGTCTGTAAATTTATTGGTACTGCTAAGTGATAACCACAGTCATCCAGCAAATCAAGAACATTCAAGTAGATGAGAGTGAAATCATGGTGTCCTTTGATTTCACAGCATTATACAGTATTTCGCATAGGATTAGGTTGGAGAAGGCTAGGTGTGATGAAATCAAAATCTGGCCTCAATCGCTGAAGTCCTTGACTGTTAGTTGGATGTCAACTGCCGGGTTTGTGTCGTGGAAACGCTAAGAAATAATGGTTGCAGACTATTCTTAACATGGCTCAAAGTTGTTCACAAGGGTGCACATGCTTCCACTGTATGAACTGCATCGACTTAGTTCTTGCCTACCCTTTCGCTTATTATATTTCCTTTGCGTCCCTCTTCGACGTTTGTGTACTTCTGTGAAGTATTGAAACTTAAACTGCTGAGCTTCTATGCAGAGTTCTACCTTGGAAACTCAGCCAGTCTTGTTTGACTACCACTGACTGACGCATCGGTGTAAAAGCTTTCATACAGCTGCATCATTCTAAGTTATCAAACTTGTGTAGAGCAGGTGAGAAAAGAGCACAGAAACTTAGTGATACTTCAATTGATTAACATTTGGATAAGGGGGTAGATAATTCGACAAATATTAAAGATTTTCAGGGACTGGAGAAGGTGTCAGATTTTGCCAGTACGGAGAGAAACTGCATACACCAACCCTTTCGAAAGTCGACCTTCGATAACCACATTCACATCGTAATCTTGGAGACTATTTTATTTGACACATGCCATTTCGGATTTCGATATACACCGGATAATCTCAACTGTCATACCTACACTACCTCTTGAATACATGAAATATTTGACTACTTCCTGTAGTGCCTCTACCTACGTGAGTAATATCTCACTCAGGCTGTCGCCAATCTTCCAAGTTACTTTGTGCATTGTCAGTGTGAAATGAGAAAATATCGCTGAATAGTAGGGATTCCTTCATTTAGCATATCTTCAGAGTAGCTAGCCTTCAAAATGTCGAGGCTAGCAAACTTGAGTAAACACTATATCTGGTTCTGCAAAGTCACTGGATGTTCTCTCTCTCTCACTCTCACTCTCTCCCCCTCCATTTCCAAGGCGTTTCAAATAGCTCTTTAGAGATGTTGGCAGACTTCGCAGTGATTGATACACTTCTTCAAGATACATTTCCTAATGGTAGTTAGGTCTATCGAGTCAATGCTGGCTCCAACATCAAGAAATAACAATTCTTCGCCTTCAATATTTATGAGGACGTTCAAGGAGTCGGTGAGAGACAAGCATACGATCTAGGCATCGGCGTGCTAAAGTGAATGCTGGTTCCTGTCGTTGAATGTGTTTATGGAGAGTTCTGTCAATTTTGATAACGCAAATAGACATCGCTAGATTGTCGCTACGCATGTTAATTATTTCTCGTCTGCAATAATAACATATTTTTGCAGTGAATTGAAATGAATTATCAACATCGAATTTCGCATCAACTCACCTCAGTTCTAGATGATTAGTGAAGATTTTCATAATCTGAAAGAAAAATTATGCCCGTGCCTTTGCGGAAGCTCTTTAGGCATGACACCGACAGACTCCCGAATTCAAAAAGTAGGAATCAGCCCTCTTGAATCTATCAGTTCGGGTATAACAGCGGAAGTACATTGAAATTCAGTAACCTTTGGTTTCAGGCTATCAACAGTCTTAACCACTACTTAGATGTTATGCTAGGCTTCTTAATGATGAGTCGTCCTCTTTGTATCTATGATGAGATTTCGTCAACAATCCATTAAGGCGCATGCAACTTCCTAAATAAGTGAAACGGTCAACACACTCAACCGTTTCACTTTCTATCTTTAATTTATTAGTTAGTCAGCGAAGACCAGCGTTGAAGTATCATCTTACATTTAGCAGGGGAGAGTCGAAAAACTAACATACTAAGATTCCTGCTCACCATGTTCAGAAGACTGCATTTTGTCAGTCTCTATGTAGACTTACTAGACCGCCCACATACTTTATATCGAAAGCGTGTTCTGTAGTGCGAAGTCAATCCCTTCTTCGCTAAAGTCGATGATAGTCACCTATACAAAACACCCAACGGTACTATATTTTATTTTTGGTGCAGATCACATAATATCACAGTACACAGTCAACAGACTTATTTTTTCGGTCGTATATAGTGATTATGATACGGCTTGGTAACGACTAAATTATCTCGGAAACTGCTTACTTAGACCGGCTGAATTATCACAAAAGGAAAACACATCAGTTACCTCCAAAAGAGTTTACACATTCAAACTGCTACCTCTCACAACCTAAGACAGTGATGGTGTACCTAATGTAAGCGACAGCTAAAAACGAAGTTAAGCACTGACACAGAACTGAATCACAGAGGGAATAATTATTTCCAGGATGCGAGATGAATCCTAAGCAGAAATTCAATTGTGGCAAAACTATTTCACCATAGCTGAGTGACGTAAATTGCTTTTTGTAAGTGGCGTACCAAAAGCGCAACCTAACCAATTAATAGAGGTGTTTAACTGTGTAGCTCATTTGATAAAATAAATAAAATAGCTGTGAAATATATCTAGTTACTGGTAACTTTTATTCGGTGAACATTGAGTCAGAATCTGCAAAACGGCTAAATTAAGAGTGGTGACTCCCATAGTCACTCAACCGGCTTATCTTACAAGTTTCCAGGATTCAAACTGTACCACAATTTGTGTGGACGTGTCATGCTACCTGGTTGATCAGGGCGACGTAGGCGTAGTAGAAGTCATCGATCACAGGTAGCAACCAGCCATGAACGTGCTACTGTATAATCTGTATTATTTAATAAATCACAGGCTTTCTGATAAAGGTACGTAAAACGCGAGTTAAACATTTAAAAGAAGTCCTCTCTGCAACATTTACGAGCGAACGTTCAGGAAGATTCACTTAAGCCGACTGAACCAACATTTTAAACAGATATACGTAGACATATACATAACTACGTTAGAACTTAAAAATGGTGTAATGCGTTACGCTACACTATGACAAGTAGCGAACAGAAACTTAGTACATGAAATCTACATCATGAATCAGTTACTAACAGCCCTGTATGAAAATGGTTTACACCGACTAATTTATTTTAGTCGTATTATTTGGTGTTTTCATTGCCAATACTACCTACAAGAGATGATATGCTTTTCGAAACTTTTCAAAAGCATGTACCATTTTATATTGCTAATAAAAATTATTTCTATAAGTTTTAAAAGTGCTATCTGTAATTTGAAACGAGGCAAAGCGGTAGGACCTGACGGAATTATTCCGGAGGTGTTTAAATATGGGGGTGACATACTAGTATGTAGATTAACTAAGGTACTAGGTAACGTCTGGGAATCAGAGACGGTTCCATCAGACTAGGGTAAGTCACTTATTATACCGATATTCAAGAAGGGAGACAAGTCCTCATGTGATAATCATAGGGGGATCAGCCTAACGAACATAGTTTCTAAAATCCTAGGCTCAGTAATCATGCACAGACTAAGCAGAACTCGGGAGGAACAAACGAGGGAAAATCAAGCAGGTTTTAGGCCAGGTAGAGGGTGCATAGATCATATCTTCACTCTCCGACAGATCCTAGAACATAGACACACTTTTCAGCCTCCAACAATTGCCATATTTCTCGACTTGAAGGCGGCCTTCGACTCCGTGGATCGAATGGTACTATGGCAATGTTAGACTGTGAAGGGAGTGCCAAGAAAGTATTATTATTATTATTATTATTGTTCCCTTGGGTTCATAGTGGAACATAGGGCTTCAACTGCACGCCTCCACTTGCTTCTGTCTTCTGCTGTATTTTTCACTTGCATCCATGTTAATCCATACTGTTTCAGTTCCTCATCACACGATCTCCTCCATGTCACCCTTGGACGTCCCACCCGCCGCTTCCCTTTCGGGTTCCACTCGAGGGCCTGACGCGCGATGTCACCCAACGGCCTCCTCAGCCAATGTCCAATCCATCTCCACTTTCTCCTGCATATTTGTTGGGCGATTGGCTCCTGTATTGTTTGTTCCCATAGCTTCTTGTTGGTGATTCTTTCCGGCCATCTGATCTTCAGTATAGAACGAAGACAGTTGTTGATAAAGGTCTGCAATAGGCTGTTGGAAACATTCTTGGTGACCCGCCAAGTTTCTGATCCGTATAGAAGAACTGACATGACGTTTGTATTGAAAATTCCAATTTTGTTGTTGATGCTGAGTGACGAAGATTTCCAGATTGGTTTCAGGTTGATGAATGTGTTTCTCGCCTTCCCAATTCTCTATTTGACATCCTCGTCCGTTCCTCCTGTGGTTGAGACAATGCTCCCTATATAAGTGAATGAAGTAACCTCTTTCAAATCCTTCCCGTTGATGGTGATTGGCGCTGGATGTTGCTGTTGTTGGTTGGTTATTTTCATAACTTCCGTCTTGTCTATGTTCACCTGCAGTCCTGTCTTTGCTGCTTCTCCCACCAGTTTGTCGGTTTTCGCTTGTAAATCT